CGTATCTATACGAGTATGTCACCATCACACATCTTAGAAGACCCTATGGAAACTCCGTGTGTCGAAAGTGGTAAGATTCCGTGGAACAAAGTGCCACTTGATTTGATGAGATGAGAGTGCAGAGTACAGAGTACGGAAACAGTATGTATGTAGGTAGGTATCGGCAAATAATCAACTCATTTCTCTCAAGCTTTCTTTCCATTTGTGCGGGGTGGGATGATCCACCCCTTTTTGTACTTTCAGCTGACTGACTGAGCGCTTTATTAATTTAAATATCCCCATATTCCATTTCAATGCTGCAGATGTACGAAGACGGAGTCTTCATTAGGGATGGGCAAATTACATATTCTTAGGGTTGATTATATAATTTCATATTATCACACTTTTTGAGGTATATAAAATATTATGCTAAGCTTATACACATGTTTTTTGGATTAATAAAATTATCAGGATGAATGAAAGTAGGTTGTTTTTAGAAAAAGTTTTTAATAGGTTGTAATTTTCAATTTAGTGTATAATTAGACCTAAAAGTCAGGTGCTATTTATTTGCTAATCATGTGATTTATATACTAATTATTTTCTTTTCAAACTAGTTTCAAAATAACTTCAAAATAGCTTTTTATAGGATTTTTATAGGATTTTATTATTAGTTATATATAATACGATTTGACTAATATTATGTATTATATTCAACTAACGAATATGCGATATTATATATCATCAAAAATCCCAACCCTAGTCTCCATACCATGGATGGCCATACCGTGGGCATACACCTGCGAGACCTGGTCATCCATAATAATAAATATGCATACCTGAATAATTTATGAAACGCTGTCTTTTGGCTATACGGATGGATATCCTCTCTCAGACTCGGTATGCTCAGATGTTTTTCCTCATCACCAATCATTTCTCCATTGAAATCTCGACTACGTACTGCCCAGACCTTGGCCACCCACAATCTTGTCATTCCTCCGCCCATTCACCAAGCTTTTCCACTCTCATGCCAATTTATTTCTCTTTGTTTTCATTTCCCTTCCAGAGTTCTATGATTCTGTCATTGGCCAATCAAGTGTATCACTGCTCACCACATGTTCTATTATTATTATTCTACTAACAATTATCTGATCGCGGACGGAGACGGAGGAGTACTGCAAAGGAAAATGTCGATGCCCTTCAATTTGTATTGCAAATTTGATTGTACGTACAAAGTTGTATGACTCACTGGCCGAGATAAAAGATGCACATCCTTCATTTTTAGAGAGGGACTGGCGACGATGACTCTTCTCGTATACCTAGGTATTCAATGCTGCAAGATTCGTCAATTGAGAAGCCACCAAGGCAGATTTGAAGGTAAGCACTGATGCATAGGTAAGGTAGCAAATATACTCCAAAATTGTTAAAGGCAAAGCAAGCTCTCTGTCGAATCCCTACATCAGAATAAGATACAAAAAGTTTATTCTTTCTTGCTATTTCTGTATCATTCAAACAATAAGCATTGTACACAGATCTCATTTCCTTCCCCTTCAAACCAATTCATTTCTATTTCTGAACAATTCGAGCTATTTTTACCCTCCTCCACACTTTCCCCATGGCAGACGACACAAATAATGAGGAGTTGATACTCACGCAATACTTCCAAGACCAATTCCACGTCCCTACTCCAGGGTGGTGGAAAGAAGCTAATCTAGCTTTCCAAACATTGCAGAAACTTTTGGATCCAAGTCTTGCGGGTCCAGAAGAGGACCTTGATAGCCAAGATCAAGGAGGTATTCCAAGCGCTCGTCGTGCTCGCATTGGCGCCCTTCCAAAGCTTGTCTGTTTTGCTACTGAAAGCCACGCCATACAGTGTACGACAAGAAACGAAACATTGGAATGCGTGGTTTTTGGAACTATTTCGGCAAGTTTGTTTATAGACGTCTTTTGGGAGGCAATCCAAAAGGCTCAAGTTGAGTATCCGGATGCGAATATTGTTGTGTCATCGGTTCAGCCAGGCGCACATCCGGTCTTTGTTGTACGAATCAATAGCTTCACTTTCGAGGTTCAATATGGTTGTTGCGAGCCATTTGTGAGAAGAATGTATGCTGCCAAGTGTCCCCTTAGATACCCATCGAAAGAGTCTCCACTCATGCAACGGCTGTTTAAACTTTTAGTGTTGCTCACATATCAAATAGTCATAACAAATTGCCTCAAAGTATTCCACTAGCGGCCCTCCAATACTGTGACGAATGGTCGTCAAAACAAGCCATTAGAATTCTTTGGCTGACCGATTTCGCTCAAAAGTGTAAGCTCCTATCTGATTAAACCCCTCTCAGAACTTTATCTCCATTTCTTGGCCATTCGCCATACTTCCCCAGAAATATAGAAATGCCAATCTGATATGATACAGTCAGCATAGACAATACTCTACACCATGTCTACCACTACATCAGGGCCTGGGCAACGGTTCAAGGACTTTATGCAAGTTCTAATATTGGAAGTCTTACTTCCATTGCCATCATCGCCCTTTTACGGCATGCATTATCATCAGGTTCCGAACAACATCATGTGAAACCCAATGCTTCAGATACCACGGATCAAAATTGGGAAAATTCGATAATCGCCTCCCTATCATCAGGCTTCGGATCAGAATCATCCCCAGAGAACCTCGACTTCAAAACTACAATCCGTGAATTTTTCACCTACTATGGAAAAGTTCCAGAAATTGACCTAACACCCTATCACATGGAATGTGGTACCGGTCTCTTCAACGATGACGAAGATGAACATCTAACCGAGTAAATTTCTTCTCCTTTTCCTATCACCACATAGACACTAACATCACACCAAAGAGACCAAATCACTCAATGGATCAACACCTATAATCTCTACCATCTTCAAAATGTAGATAGATCAACCCTCGAACTCCTCTACCTGAAATTCCAGCTCATGCATTCCACCATCGAAAGTGCCCCCACAGAAAGTTATTCTCATTTCTCATATTGGAAAAACCTTCTCGCCAGCATTCAACAACAAGATGTGCCGGCTAAACTTTTGGGTGAAGTTATCATTCAGATAGATTTCGTGTATTCAGGTACTTCCTCGCTGGAATGTGGAAGATGGTTGGATATGCTTGGTGATAGATTGGTGACCTTGAGGAGCTGTAAGTATTTTCACTAACCTATCCATTCATCATTTATTTCTTTCTTCCATAAACTGAAATTCGATATTAACAACCCCTCTATAGCTCTAACAAACCTCACATCTTCATCTTCATCTTCACCCTCAATCCTTCATTTATGGCCCCAACCCCTAGTCGATCAAGAAGCAGATGATTCCTCTCCCTTCTACGAAGGATGTTTTCTCCTCGGTCTTACCAACATCGATTCCCTAGACCTCAATCCCACTCTCGAAAAATGGCTTTCCTCCCTCCAGAAAGACAAATCCACGCCCCCAAATCAAAAAGGTTATCTATCCTACACCATGCATACCTCATCCTTCGAAACAGCCCATCTCCATCTCCGTCCCAGCACCCGTACCTTCCATCATCCCCCCATCACCCCACCCAACACCTTCCTCTCAACTTTCTCCCCAACTCCCACTCCCACTCCCTCTGCAACCCCAACCCCCCTCCCCCTCCCCACACAAAAATCCCCTCCCCTCCGCACCGCAAAAGACATTCTCCACCGACTCCTCCACGACCCCTCCTACTCCATCGAAAACCACCTGATCGGCTATCGCGATCGCCACGCCGGCGTCATGTTCAAAAATGCTTCCGACTGGAAACTCGATACCATGGACGAGGAATGGATTCCCGAACATAAAATTTTGGTATGTATATATTCCTTTCTTGCCTATCTCTCCCTTGCGTACCTATGTATCCATCCCTTCACTCTCCCATCCTATCCTACCTACCCTACCATACCCTACCCTATCCTTTCTGCCCTCTCCATCTCTTAACCCCCACCTCGTCTCGAATTCCTCTCCACAGTACACAATACCAAGTAAAGCCTCAAACATAAACCATCCATCCACCCATCTATCCATCCATCATCCATCCACCCATCATCCACCAACCCACAACCCCAAATTCTAACACCCCCACCCACCCCCAGTACTTCATCCAAACCCTACCCGACCAGAACAAAAACAAAAACAAAAAAAGATTCATCTGGCACCGCGAACAAAAACTCGATCTCCTCTTCGGAAGCGGCGGATCCATATCACGCTGGGGCATCCACGGAGAGAAGTTCAATATCGAGGTTCCTGGATTTACTTGAGATAAAAGGGCAATAACAAGATGGTGCTACTCTTCTGGTATTATACAAGATCAGAAATACATGAATAAATTACATAGAATATTAGCAAAGATGTAGAAAGTAGAGTGTGATATCCACTACAATTTTAATACACACTTCCATTACATCTCTCCATCTATCCACTCGTACATATGATATTAATTGTTGATAGACATACGTCCACACACAAACAGGCAACCAACCAACCCAGTAGCCAGCCAGCCAGCAAATGGGACAGAGTATCACAAAATAACCCTACCCACTTCCCACTTCCCACTTCCCATCTCTCATCTCCCATCCATACAATACACATACATAATCATACACTCTCCGGACCAAGATTGCAAGGAAAACATCATGAATTCATGACCCATCGCCTCTATTGCATGCAAGCAAGTATGCAATCATTCCAATTCCCAAAGTCATTATTATCAATCAAACCAGCCAGCCATGTTGTAAACTCCATATTAGCTAATCAGCTAATTAGCCATTTAGCAAAGCTACCACCCATTATTATCCCAGCCCACCCATTACCTTTTCCTCCCTCTAGCGTTGACTTCCCCTTTCTCACCAATCCCCAAAATAATCCTACAATCTGGACAATACCACTTAGTGGTTCTAGGAGGAACAGCCGTCATTTCCACACATTCCAGATGAAACCATTCTTTCTCGCACTATCAATCAATCAATCATTAGTCTCGTCTCGTCTTGTCCCGTCTCTGCTTATCCCTTTCCCTTCTTCTCTTCCATATTCAATACAAACCAAGACACAGACCTCTTGTGGAAAGGAAGACTCACATTATCATTCTCACAAGCAATCATCGTGCCAAAGCTAACCCGATTACAAATGCAATATCTCTGTTCGTTTGGATCAATCAAATTTCCATCATCATCTACCTCATCCAAAACTTCTTGGACCGCACTGCCTTCTCTTCCATCTTTCTTTTCCTTTTTCTGTCCTGCCTTTTTGCGGGGAGCAGCACGTCTCTTGCCAACGCTGACAGCAGTAGATCCGCCTTCTGTAGTAAGAGTTACAACACCTGGAGCAGGCCTTTTTGCTCTTTTGCTCGGTTGACGGGTTTCTGGTGCCGGTGTGTTGCGAGCTGTGCTAGTGCGTCTAGGGCGATCTAGTACTGCTGGCATAGGAGCTGCAGAGATGGGCTCTTCTGCTTTGATGGCGGCGGCAGTTACCGCTTCCTTTGCAGCGGCTGCTTTACCACGAGAAGATGTTGGTCTTTTAGCTGGGAGGGGTTCTGATACTGGTGGTGTAGTGGGTTCAATTACTTGAGCAACCGGAGTTGCTTTTCGAGTGGCACGTGTGTTAGTTGTCTTCTCTAGCTTTTCCGATTTTTGATCTTCCTTCTTTTCTGCCAATTCCGATTCCACAACTGCTTTTGCGGCTTCTTTGGCTTCTTTTTTAGCAGCCGCTGCTGCTTTTCTCGCCTCTTTCTTGGCCTCCTTCTTTTCCGCACCCGGAGGAAGAATTGGCGTTGAAGACTTTGGTGGTGATGAAGCCGTTACTGATGCAACCGGAGTAGAATTGATTGGTGTATCTGTAGCTGGTACTGGTAGAGCAATGGAAGATGCCACGGATACGGCAGATTCCAAAGTTGGTACAGGAGTTGCGCGGGGAGTGGCATTTGTGATGATGGGATGAGGGGGTGGAACCGGGGTTTCAGTCTTCGTTCTCTTGAATTGAGGCTTACCTAATTTCGAAGAATCTACTTCATTCACTTTATCACCTTGAGCATCATTCGTGTCAGTTATGCCATCTATACTCGATGGGTTTGCCTCGCCATTCGCCTTTACATCTTCGATTGTGGACTCGCGTTTTCGTTTTTTCGATGCTGGCTGCTTCTTAGGTGTTTTAGTAGGAGCTTTCTCTTTCTCTTTTTCTTTTTCTTTCTCTTTCTCTTTCTTCTCCTCTTCAGGATGATTCCCAAAAAGGCTCTTTACTGTACTAGCAGCTTCTGTCATCTTTCGTACAGATTCTTCAGCTTCTTCAGCCGCCAATTTGGCAAGCTCTTTTGCGGCTGCCTCTCTCTTTAATTTCTTGGCTTCGTTAAGCTTCATACCACGATTGCTAAGTTGTATCTCCTCTGTGCCTAAGGCTTCTGCACTTATAGCACCTTCCGCGATAACTGTCTTCCCGGTGAGTTGGGGTGGTACCGATGGTTCGAAAGGCTGTCCTGCAGCGTCAGCCTTACTCTTTGCAGTACGATACGCTTCAATTCCTCGTCCCAATTGTTTTAATTCACGTGCGATCATTGTATCGCTCGGGCTCCATACCGCATTCTTTTTCATTCTCTTTCTGAGCTTCGCAAGCTCCCATGCGGTCAACTGAAGCCAAGGCGCATCTTCGGTTCCCGCTTTCGCATCCGGTGGTGGAGGTTGGAGTTTCGCTAGTGCGTTACTTGTCGATATTCCGGCAACCGCGCTATGTACGTTTGTTCCCATAACTCCAGGGGGCCTTGGTGTCCGGGGGGCTTTTGGTACTTTCTCTTTCTTGGCTGGCTTGACCTTCAACTTGATCTTAGGATTGACCGATACGGATCTCGCAGGTGTCTGCCGACGCGGTGTGGGTGGACCAGCGTCGGATTCCGAATCATCACTGTACGAATCATAAGAATCGTAGTCGAGCTCATATGGAGCCATGACCTCGCCAGGAACAGTGATGATTGGCGCGCGTCGTTTGCGAACACGCATACGACCATCAGGGTTTCCAGTTCGCAAAAGTAATTTTCCTGGCAATCGATTTGAGACCGGGGAATTTGGCTTCTGCGGAACAGGACTTGTTTCTCGAGATTCGGGATAGTTTTCTGCCATGGTCTGAAGCTTCGCCAATATGTTCTGGGCCCTTTTGTAATGTCTCTCCACGTTCTCAACCAGATGTGACGCCTCTGCGAAAGCCAATGTACGTGCACCGAGGGCATCGGTCAAGCTGGTAGATATATCTTTTCGCAAAGAGACAGGGTCAGGTTTTGTATCGGCAGGAAGATCGGGGAGGTGACCATAGGTTTTTGTCAAGTCATTCAAGTTCGACGAGGCATTGACATATTTCTCATCGAGGTCACTAATGAGTGCCAATGACCGAACCAAATCAGAAGGTAGATATTCCGTGAAATCGAGAAAGTCTGTGATTGTTGCCTGTGCATCCGGATCCATAGGTGATTCCATATTCTCAATGTTACTATTCAAGTTTGCCATAGATTGGATCGTTTCCGCGAGCTTGGCCTTCCGGCCAGGACTTGTCATCTCCAGAGCGGCATCCATTGTATTATTTGCGGCCACGTTGATGGAGTTTATGTTGGAATTGATAGTATCGATTGCTCTTGAATTGTCGACATGCGATTGTGGTGGGACCTTGATTCGACAGCTCCAAATACCTGACTCATCAAGCCATCTAAAAGAGAGAAGAAAAAAACAAATTAGTAAAAAGTTCCAGAATCCAGAGTATGTCGTTCAAAAAAATTGGTCGAAAGTCAATTGTTAAGGAAAGGTAAGAAAAAGATAAGTGATGAAATATTGACCGAAATAGTACGGAGTAAGTAGGCAGGCATGTAGTGTAGTGTAGTGTAGTGTAGTAATAATCTGTCGTGAAAGCAACTAAAAAACGCGAAAATCCATCGGCAAATTGTAAAGCGCGATACTGTCACCAATCCAAATCCTTACCTAACGCCTACTTTGCGATCATTGGCAGGTATTATTTTGGATTTTGGATCTTGGGTCTTTTTTTTTTTTGCCTTTTCTTCCCCGATAATTTGCCTTGAGCCTCTTATATCTTGATCTTGTGGTTGCCCTTCTTATTCCCTTTATAATATTTGGGACCTTGCTTGTACCTGGCTGGCTGGCTCTTATTCTGCCCCCCCAATCGGTCCCCCAATTGGTCCCCATCTTTTCTTTTCTTGCAAAGCGGCGGGAACAGGAAGGCAAAAGCCCAAAGGCCAAAGTCAAGGGAAAAAGCATGTAGCATAAACATAAAAATGCACGTGCTTTTTGTGGAGGGGAGGGGGAAGCTATGAAAACAGCTAATGTAGGTATCTACGTAGGTAGATCAAAATAGTATCAAGGTACCGATAGTTATGGGGAAAAAGGGTAAAAATAAGTACAATATGGGAAATGGGAAATAAACAAAAAAAGGGGGAAGGAAAGCGTCCATCAAAAAACATACCTTCTGGATGCATCGGATGCCATGTTTGTTTGGGAGAGCGGGATGCTATTTTCTTCTCTATCTTGGTCGGATCGAGTGTTGTTTTCAGTTTGCAGCAGAGGAGACGCGATATCGATGAGGCTCTGGAAGGGAGAGTATGTGTGTATATGGATGGGTGTGATGGGTGTGATGTGTGGATGGGTGGTGGATGGGTGGTATGTACAGTGGATGTACGTATGTACAGTGGTAATTGCAAATACCGTGATAAAATACTGAGAGTGATGGCAAATAATAATAATAATAGGCAGGTAAAGTTGACGACCAGAATAGAATAGATCTTTAATCGAATCAAAGACAATTAAAAAAAATCCTAGATTGGGGTTGGGTGTATTACGAAGCCTACATATTTCATTATAAAAATATGCCAAAAGGTGTCATGGGTTCCAAGGCTTTGTTTCGTGATATTTCAGATATATCAGATATATCAGTAATAAGTACCGCCGCGAGTAATAAGTAGGTAGTAGGTAGGTAGTAGGTAGGTAGATATGCCCAAAAAAGATAAGAAGAAAGTAGCAGCAGGAGAAGCCGTGGCCGTGGCCGTGACCGTGGCAAAGTGGATGGGATCTGTACGGAATCTGTACGGTATCTAGATCATACAGAGAGGAGTCAAGTAGGTGTCGAAGGCTGAATCTGATGGATGGAGCTGATGACGAATAAAATCAACTGGAAAAGGAAGGCTGAGATGGGAAAAGCACTTGGAATGCGTATGGAGTATGGAGTATGGAGTATGGAGTATGGAGTATGAAATTGATGGATGATGTATCTTGGTTGTTTTGGGAATCGATGTAGACGATGAATATTTAATTAATGCTCCAATGCTAGTGATTATCAATATGTTTTATTATAATCTGATCCGTTTAAAATGATTGTTTGCACCTTCCCATTTACGATTTACCATTTCACCCTTTATTCACATACCTCCCCCCCCTTCTTGTCTTGAAATTGCGGTTAAGCTATGGGTCACAAGATTACACAATATGATCTGAAAGGAATAAAATGCCTGCTTACTCTCGCATCTCAAATGTCAGCCTAGTCCTGTAAAATATGGACAAATACAATATCATTCATCAAAGCATCTACAAGTACCGACCCAGGTATCTATCAATGCAATAAGTTTCAATTCACATTCAATTCACATTCACTTCCCTTCATTCTTGTATCATAGGCATACAGACAGATGTACCCCATACCCCTTTGTTGAAATCAATACATGCATCTATTTTTAGAAATAACCTTGATACCGGCATACAATATCCATCAAAATCATCCATCAGCACTCCTTTTCAAGAAATCAAAACCATAAAGAATACAATACAACACGGTAAAACAAATAATCACACCCGCCAACTATTACTTGAAAGTGTTTATGATTATTCCCCCCCGGATGAGTAGATTGATCCCCTAACCCTTCTCGCCGTGTCCGCCGTGTCGATAAGCAAACATGTGAACATATTCCCCTGTATCTCAAGCCAGTGAAAAAAATCAAAAAAGGCTCGCTTCAACCAGTCAACTATACTCCGCCAAATCAATAAATCCCAAAAAGAGGAAATAGCGAGATCCATATGCGTCTTCTTCCATGTACAGTAATTCTCTACTTCGTCTCCCCTAATGTACCTACCCGTCCTCCGACTTCTCTCAACGTCAAGCCATCAAATCTGCATCACATTTTCCTCCCTAAACCGCACCCACGAACCCCAATACACCGCCACAAATTCCCGCAGCCACAACCCAGATACCCGAATACGCCACAGCACCGAGCGCCTCAACCCCCTCAACCGTAACATACGTTTGCAAAAAGGTGTTAACACCTGTAATCATCATCAAAGTAGCCGTTCTCTTGATAATGATTCTGGTTTTGTTCGAAAAGCCCCATAAATTATAAAGAATGGTCTCTTCCAACGTAGCAGTTTCAGGGTTGAATGGCGGAGGTACTGAGTCTGAAGGCTTGGTGGCTGTAACTGGGGTGAAAATGAATGAACGTGTTGCGAGGCCTAAAAGTAGCATAACGGGAAGGAGAGAAGTAGGTGTTGCGGAATGAGCGGCGGCAATAGATGGGATACCTTCGAAATAGGTAGCAAGGTAAACTGGCATATACGACATGTATGCACCGTAGAGAGTGACGCTGTAGATAGATGCCGCTAGGAGTGTAGTGATGATCTGAACAGGAATATCTGAAGTAATATCTCGGTTTGGCACAGATGGAGCGTCTGCATGAGCGGGAGAAAGAGGTCGAAGTAATCGGAATGGAATGTAGGTTGTGAGGGTATCGATCAGAAGAGACGATACAACAGTCTTCACGCTAACTTCATAGAACGCGTTAAGAAGATACAACTAAATCCCAAAAGTCAGTACATACTCATCACAACTACGAGCGCAATTTGATAGTGGGGCAGAAATTTGGAGGAAAAAAACTTACTGGAGGACCACGAGACAACAAAGTCATAGCCGCAAAATCATAGCCATCATAATTACCAAACCAACCTAATGCCAATTCCGCAGTCCTCCACGCAACCAACCCCGCCGCCTCTTCCCATCCCTGATACCTCCTACTAACGCTTCCCAACTCTTCTGCCTCAACATAATTCGCACGCAAACTATAAGCCAACCCACTTCCCATCAAACTGAGAACCACTACTAAGGGAAACCTCAATAGATCTGGCACCTTCGATGGTTTCCGCTGTGAGAATCCAGAGTCGGCCAGCATTGACTTGACAAGCATTGAATTCTCATCATTTTCTCTCTTCGCTGCTTCCTTCTTCGAGTAATATTCGTCCAAATCATCACCCCTTTGCAGATGGCTCAAATCTCCATTGACAAGTTGATCCGCTACCGCCTCTGCACTGTCTGCTAAGCTCTCGACCTTATCTCTTCTTAGTGATCGTGTTGCTGGAGCCATTATCTCCTCTTTTCCTTTACTATTATTGTTTTCGTTCTGGTACATTTCGCTCAGAATCGTTTTATGTGTTAAGATCCTGCGTACTTGTAAATAACTAAGTTTGATCGATCATATAAACAAATGAAAGTACCATACCCGTCTGTCGTTTCCTAACAACCCAGTCCGGTAGCAAATAAACAAAACCAACGCGTCTCCTAGGACCGGCGCGCTTATCCCACAGATATAAAAGACTCTTTTCACGTTTCAATTTTTCTTTCAATGATCACAAACCAACAAGAGTTTTGAGTTTGATCGTTTGGTTTTATATCGTTGAATTGATTCTTTTGATGTATAATTGTAAAGTTATGTTCTGCCCATGCGAATTTTTTGCTTGCTTTGCATGATGCAGCTTGAGCTTGGACACCAAGACGTCACTACCGGTGAGCTATCATCAATCCAGTTCCTTGTATACAAGAGTCGTTCTGCCAACCACCATTTTTTCATTACAATTTTCTCACTTTTTTCAATTGGTATCCACATCGAAAATTTTGATATTTCTAATTTAAATAAGTAAAGTCGTCTTGCTTCAGGTTGTTGAAAGATGAAATCCATTTGATATTTTGTTTTGCTTTGCTTTCTTCTTAAACCTCTGACACTTTCATCTATTTATACAATAGCTTCGTTTGCTTTTTCCTCTACATCCGCTCCATTTATGACTACTGCACGCCTAATCATTTGCCAACTTCTTTCTTCTCCGTCAAGAAACTCTATCCCAGACCTAGATAACATGCCGCACCCTACCCAACCAATGTCCAGCAAGTGCTATCTAAAAGCCTCAAGCCGAGTGATGCTATCTGAAAGGGAAATGAAACCCTATTGAAAAAGGGCTTGCAAGTAGTTGCGTGCTTGACAATACAATATGCCTCGACGTGCCACTGTTAACTACATCGATATCGTCGCCACCATCACTATTATCATATTCACCATCAAAATTGGTATCAAATGGCATTGACATTAGGAATCTGCACGTCTGGCTGTTGAGTATCTTCTTTTCATTGATAACATTTGTTTTTATTGTTCTGGTAGATCAACCCGATTCTTAGTTTTAACCTCAGTGGATCAAACCCCCACACATTGGTGCTAAGAATCGACCGAATTTACTTATTACATTGCTACTACAGGAGAAGA